AACTGTGCCGGAAGAGTCCGGTGATACATGCAATTAAATTGTGTATTAATAATGACCCGATAAAGCGCCGGAAAATTAGCCAGGCCCCAATTCTGTCATTTCCGTCAATAAACAAATGAATGTCACGTGCTTAAGACGAAAACTGATCTGTGTATTGATCGTAGTTAGGATATGTACAACGAGAAATACGCTTACTTTCAATAAAATTGCTACATTATTTAAACGCGAACTAAATTTGATTCAAGTACAATATCACCGGTAGATGTCAGCAATTATGCCTTACCGACAGTGGTTCAGCTCAAACCTAAAGTTTGCATGTAGTGAGGTAATAATCACCTCTGAGCCTACAGAAATGGTTTGGGTAAGGAGCGATAGTCCTGCTAGACCTCGCCCCATCCGAGGTCATTTATCCAGCCAAGGATATTAGCGGATTGGCGCGTAATAATCACTTTTCCTTTTTTATCTGACGTGACATTGCTGGAAAATTGTTATGTATTTCCATTTATGTTTTTCTATACTGATCGATGTTATTTCTTTAAAAAACATTTTTCGTATGCTGTTAATCAAGTTTTGAAGTTTTACGGTGGGTGAAATAATTGTTTCTGTATATATGGATTATTTATAAATTTATTGCTGTCGCTTTTAAAGTGGGGTATTTTCCATCTGTTTAAACAATTATACAATGAAAATACGCAAAAAATATCGTACCTGTATATATATTTTTTTAATTTTGAACCGGCACCAAACATAGTAATTTGTTATTGTCGAACAGAAATCTTAATTTTAATCCGAATCATCAATTGGCCGAATTTTTTCAGACCATCAAATTTTTAATAATGAATTGAAATTCATAAAAAATTTCTAATGAACAATCAATACAATGACAATTTTGTTGAAACAGTTTTTAAGAAAAAATGCAAGAAATTCTGCCAGACAACAAAAGGCAATTACATCCGCAATAAACATTTAATATAATCCTGTATTATCAGAAAAGTTAAGGAGAATAGGTAACAAATTTAACATTAGAATGGTTTTTCAGACAATACTCGTCAACATAATGATTTTTAAAGTAGAAAAAATTGCATATATAGCAATCCTTGACTTATTTTGGCGGAAGAGTTTATTTCATAAATTTTTTCGCAGGTGACAAAATACCTAATAAGTAAGACAAAAAAGTAATTTATCGTTCAATGAAATCTAGAGGATGTTTAGCTAGCTTAACCGTCAGATATCCCACTAGATAAATTTTCCTTGCATTCACGTACATTTTTCCTTATTATTATGTCGTTATTTTATGCAAAAATTTACAAAATTCAATCGTGTTATGATGGTAAACACGTGTATGTAAAACATATGCGACGTAGACATTTCGTGAATGAACCAATCAGACGGAGCTCCTGCTATGCCTTGCGGAGCAATGGAAAACAAAAATATTTTCCCAGGCCTTCAAGTAAACAACGAGGGTGAACTGCCGCTTTCCCTTTCCGTTTAATAGTTAATGTTTATTCTGGAAGGAGGTGGTGTCGACATATACACCACTTTGAAAGCAAGAAAACCTTCATGATTAGAGCAACGGCTATATCCTTGTTAAGGTTAAGATAGTCTTAAGGACTTATCTCTTCCAGAACTTAAAATGTACCATTAATATTTGTGTTGATATTTTCCTTACTTCTATCCAAATTGGTAGGGATGTCCACTTTAGAGGTATCCAGGGATGGCCAGAAGTATGGAATAAAATTCATATCTTTTGAATGAGTTAATTTTTTTAAAACACCGAAACACGTTAACTGATTTTGATTTTTTCCCATCTTTCGGAGTTTAAAAAAAAATAACTCATTCAAAAGATATGAATTTTATTCCGTACTTCTGGCCATCCCTGAATTTATATTTTTATACTGTGTATTTTTGTCAAGTAAACAAATACTATTTATGAATGAACTCCAGCACAAATACACATTTGTTTTATTTTCGGTTAAGGCATCACGAAAAATTATTTTGAGGACGGAAATTGTTATAATTTACGCGCACACGCTCTGTAAATCGAAATTCATTTCGTTCGTGTCATTAACCAGATATTTTCGCCCGTGACGTCAGTTACACTGAAATGTAATTAAAATTATATTTTAATTGTATTCTGCAATTATGCCACTGGTTCGAATAAATAGCTCTGCGCGACATATTTATAGAAAAGCATTTATAATTGGATTTTGGATATACAGTTTCACTTTAGCCTGTTCAAATAGAAATTAATCTGGTCTGGAACTCGTCACTCTACATTTTAAAATAGTTCAGACGTGAAAATAATTGTCATAATAAACATTGTTTTGTTCAATTTAATAAACAACCTTTTATCTTCGATTGTTTAATCGAAGTTTTCTACGTAGATTTAGTGTAGTGTGGTAAAAAACGAAATACTCACTATTTGTTTAATTTGTTTTAAATGGTAATAATGTATCAAGATATTTAAATTATAAACAAACTTTTTGAGACAGTGATGGAGGTTGGTGGAGGAATCTTAATAAATTTTGTGTTATTGTTTTTTTACTGAGGTTGAAATTTTAAAAGAAATTTTTTAAATCCCATTGTATGACATGTAATAAGTACGTGATGGGAGGCATTCCTGAAAAGTTATCAAGGGGTACTCTTTTCATAAACGTTCCAAAAATAAATCAATTCAACTTAATAGAGAAATTTTAAGTAACGATATAAATAATGTAAATAAATAATTTGTAACTAAACCTAAAAGAAACTCGTAGAGTTAAAACCTAAGTAAGTCATGTGTCGTAGTTCTGGTTCGTAATTAGATGCACCAATATACGTTTCGATTTCCGTCGAAGCTCCTAGTGCCGCAAATACCGAAACCCCAGCCGACGACACCGCTGAAGGTCGATGCTGTCGGCGGAGCAACCACCGACGAACCAAGGAACCGCAAGACAAACTCAAAGTACCACTTAGACTACCAATTCGATCATCAGTTCCAGTCAGCGACAATCCACGGATGGGTTAATATCTAGAGAGGCCAATTGTCCAAGCCTAAACTTCGCTACACAAATCTACGAATCCATCAAGTACTGCGATCGAACGTCGACCTTGATGCCCTGCAATTCATTAACTAGAAACAGGATTTCGTTAAAAAATTCCGGCCTAGATTGTAGTTCTAGCGTTCCATCCCCCAAGCATTGTGCAATCCTACGGTGATGATCCTAAAGGATAAAATAAGCTCCTAGAAGCTGCCCAAAATTCATAGGAACTCATAGAAGACACACACAAGTTCCAACAAGCTTACATATTTCTGATACTTACAGGAGAGCTGAAAATTAATGCCCATACTAGAAATCCACCAAAGGAAAATACAAATTCTGAAAGACAACACTTAATAAATTCTAATTAAGCACATTATTTAACTGCAGTAAAATACAAGTAAATTATGAACTTAGAAACCGTTTGTATTCATTTTCTTTATTATTTGTGGACTTACGTGTGAAAAATGAATTGCTGATTTTCAATATTTTTGTTAAGTTTGAAGTTGACACCTTTCGGCGATATAAAAAAAGTTGACCATTCTAGTTTGCAATAATATATCATTATCTTTAATAGGATCTAAATTTGTAACTTTGAAATTACATCAACATTCCTCCATTTTGGGAAGAAATTTGGTCAGTAAACAAGGCAACACAATCAAACAATTCAGTGCCGCTATTAATATCAGGATATCATCCCTTCCCCACACGTTTCCTTATATTTTGCCCGTGCCCTTTATCGTCGTCAATATGACTTTACTTCGTAAACTGCCTATTTACAGATACATAAAACGTACATATACTTCGATTTTATTTAAAAATCCGCCTGGCTCTCACATAATAGAACGATTTAATCCGCAGGTGCTGCTATAGGGGAGTGGGGTGCGGAGTCGAAGCTATTTGAAATGATTTTATTTAACTTTGAGAAGATTAAACGTTTTCTCACGAACCAATTTATAAATTACTTGAAAAATGTGCATGATGTATGTTGGCAAGAACAACATAGAGAACCAAAACAAACCATTACATCATTCGTCGAATATTGGATTGTTTGAAGTTGAATTTGTTATAAATGTGACATATTTTGTCTGGCAAATCGTTGCCTGGTATTTGGTCAGATAAAACTGTGATATTCAGGGCTGTGTGACAACATTGTTTGCTGCATATATGTTAATGAGTAGTTAATAAATAACACAAAAGAAATAAAATAACTGTAACCCCACATTTTTTTTGCTTTGTTCTATCCATCCCGTTATTGTTGTATTGTTGTGATAAATAGAAAAAAAAATAGTTATAACAAAATTTGCTAGTAGAGATTATAAAAAATATATTTCTGACCTACATTATGTGCGGGATATTTGGAGATATTGATATAGACTTTTTGCTTAAAATCCCAATACGAATGGTGCCCCAGATATAGCCGCTCCGTATCTCCCAAACTGATCACGCTGTATTTGCCCCCATCGCCCCTAGTGTCGCCTCAGGTGTTCGATGTACACGGTCGGATTGTGTCGCGTACCTATATTTATTATAAGCCATTTATAGCACTAAAAGCGGCTAGAACTGATATACAACCCAGCATGTTGCACATGTTCCAGAAATGCATTTGTTTCATTGCTCAGCTAAATTTATTGATTAAAAACCGTAACATTTTTATGGGATCGGATAAGTCTCTGCCAACTGTATTCAGCAGTACAGTACAGCGAAAAGTTACAAACTACTCACTTGAGCAGCAATTTTGTTTGGAACAGTCAGAGATTTTATTCAACCAATCAGCGATCGCATTATCTATAGCGTAAGGCGTAACGGTTTTTCTTTGTTCATTGTAAACGAATATTAATATTGGGGACGTTAAGACTTAGGGATTTTTAGTTGACAGTACCAGTCGTGAAATGTTGGTTGCCTAAGCTCGGCGATCAAGTGGCTTGTAATATATTTATAGACTTAATTCAAACAATAAAAACCATTTCCTTTTTTCAGGACTCTGGCGTTGGAACCCCGGTGACATTAAGGGTAGACCCTAACGGGTTCTACCTGTACTGGGTCGATCAGAACCACGAAATGGACCTCTTGGACATCGCCATTATTCGAGATACAAGAACGGGCAAGCACGCAAAAATACCGAAGGTAAGTTTTTATGCGTTTCTTCAAAAAATTTTTAATAATAGCTCTTGATACATAACCAAGATCTGACGATTGGTCTTTGTATTCGACACTTCGAAGGCATGACCTAAATCTAGTTGTTTTCAACGATAAGTTCTGTTTTCGTTTCTGTTACTAGACATAAATTAAAACTCGACTTCGATGGAAGCATACGAATGTGCGGCAATATTTTTATGATATAGGTAGGACACGAAACTGTGTCATGTCAAAGTAAGTCATTAATATGACAGGTATGTTCGGAAAAGTCATTTAATCATGCAAACACCAACGTAAACGACAAATTAGAATTAGAGACGAAACGTACACGAGTGTCAATTTACTAATGCTCTTGCTAAACAGTTCGCTCTGTCAGACGTGCCCTCAATGCCAATAGATCTATAACTATGCTGTTGACCTACGGACGTGGAATATATAAATTCATAATATCTGCTGACTGTCCGAGTGATTAAAGAAATAGTAATAAAAAATTAAAGATATTCCCTCTGGACATTCTTGAAATTCGGTCTTCCTTTATTTTATGGATTTGTTTATCCATTTGTTTCGCTCTCGTTATAGTGATGATAGCCGTAGCCAGCAGGATATAGAGATCTTTTGATTATACTCTAGTCCCCAAATATATCTTTTTCACTTGAACGCTTATGATCCGCACTGTACGCCTCAGTTAGAAATTGAGAACATTTCAAGAAGTTAGCCATGTCTCACTCGTTTCCATTTTAAGTACACTACACGATAAAGAAAAATAAAAATAGACGCTTGTAACAATATAACATTCTAATTGCTTTTGCCACGTGAATGTATGTGTGTATATCGGAACACTATGCGAAATGAACAGCACGTTACAATTTATATGTAAAGAATATACAAAATAAATTTATCAGTTTAAAAAACTAATAAAAATGGTGGAAGGATAGAAAGGTGATTTCTTGGCATTTTAGTAAATCTCGTCAAACTTGGTAACATCCCCAGCCCGGGCGGATTTCCTGCGGCAAGATTTTTCATTTTTCTCGGCCGGGAATCGGAAGCGTGGCAAGTTTGCGCCCCGGCTAAGACAGACTGTCCGGCTCGTCTGGATTTATGCCCGGAGTGAAACATTTCTGCTCTTCCGGTTATCCCACGTATCTGATTGACATTCACGAGACGTAACAATGCCAAAAGTTGGAATATCTCCAAACGAAAACACAATCCGCGCTTAGCGCGGGATTTCGGTCTATAAATAGAATTGGAATCGGACCAGTTGTGGAGTTAAAAGAAAAAAGTCGTTGCAGTTAAAAGTGCAAGTTATTTGACAGCCTGTAGGTATATTCGAAAGAAGCAATATTACAGTACATAACAGTTCATTTATTATTCGGTTGAATTTCATTCGAAGAAAATTGATAAAGAATTCAAGCAAGAATTTTGCTTAAAAATGTTTATTTAAATATGTATTGTAATTTCTTTATACTTTAGAAAAAAAAAAAAAAAATGAGAGAGTACACTGCAGTAAATAGAAATTTCATTTGCACTTAGGATTGTACCTGAATCCCTTTTGGTTTTCGAAATATCCGCCGCCGGGAAGTTTTAAACGAAACGTCCTGTGTTAGAGTCTTTCCGATCCCAATTGAAGAAAGCTAGGCGGTATATACCGCCCAGGCTCGGTCGTTACACAGCAACTCGGTATTGAAACATTTGAAAAACTTATTCCCATATTTATTTAGCCGTACCCATATACAGGTTTGGTCGCCTAGTTGAAAAATTTGCACGCGGGCAAACGGCGAACAAACACAGCTGCACATAAATTTCAGTTGTCGACAAATTACCTAGCAGTGCAATGGAGCAATGCGGAATTTGGCGTGATTCAGGTAATTTTAATTTATTATAGGCACCTTCTATTAATCATTCATACTATAACTACCAAAGGAATAAATAGGAGGGATATTTTGTTTACTAGTATTATTTATTATAACATGACACTTTGGAGACCTTTTGAAACGTAATAAAACGAAATGCCGCCAGACAATATTGAATTAGCAGAACCGGTTGTTGATGGAAAATCAGATAATCCCTAACTAATATTATAAATGTGAATGTAAGTTTGTTACGCTTTCACGCGAAAACTACTTAACCGATCATCATGAAACTTTGTACACATATTCTTGGAGGTATTAGAAGTAACATAGGATACTTTTTATTAAAAAAAATT